CCGGTTTTTGTCGCGCGTTTAGGTGTTTCTTTTTTGTGGGGGTTCCCCTGGAGGGTAGTTTAAAAACCCTTTAATTGCCCTTCCCTTTTAGTATTACTTTCATAGTTCCTTGATAAGTGAGTAGCAAAGAAAGAGCTTGGAAATTTTACTACTCTTTCACAGTGGTTTTTTGAAAATATATATAATAAAATATATATTTTATATATATATATATATATATATATATATATATTAATTTTTTTTTTTTTTATTTAACGGCCGTTCCCACCAAGGCGGTGGCCCCCAAAAAGAAAAACTTTCACCCTCATTTTTACTCCATCACTGTCTTGCCAGAAGGGTGGCTTTACCCTACAGTTTTTTAAAAATGCAACATTTAAAAAACCCCCCCTTCAGAGTGCGGCAATGTCTTCCCTCTCCAGGGCTCAAGTCCCGGGCCCGCCGGTTTCCCCCGAAAACCCCCTTTATAAATGGGTTTCTTTGCTCACCCCTCCAACAGCACTCAAGTATTAAAAACCTTTGTCTCCATTCACCCTATCAAAACCCCGCCCCCCCCACCGCATCCTGCTGGAAGTCCAAGCCCCCCGCAACCCCAAAAACCACCTTTACCCCCCCCCCTCCAACCTTTTTCCCAGGCCGCCCCCAAAACCCCCCTTTCCCTTCCCCTAAAGACTATAAATCTTTTTGGGGGGTCATTCTTTTTTCGCTCCATTCTCTCTACATGTCCGAACCAAACCCCAACAACCCCTTCCTCGCCCCCTGGACAAAAATTTTGTTAAACCCCCACCTCCTCCTAACTTCCCAAAATACGAAATTTTCTGCATTTTATTCACCCCCCACATTGCCCCCAGAAAATGACATCTCCACTGCCTCCAGCCTTCTCCTCGCTGCAACATTCATCACCCACGCTTCACACCCATATAAGAGCGTTGGTAAAACTTTTCTCTCATACATTCCCCTCTTTGCCTCCAAGGACAAAGTTCTTTGTTCCACAGACTCCTAAGTGCACCACTCACTCTTTTTCCCTCATCAATTCTATGATTCACCTCATTTTCATAGACCATCTGTGACACGTCCACTCCCAAATATCTGAATACGTTCACCTCCTCCATATTCTCTCCCTCCAATCTGATATCCAATCTTTCATCACCTAATCTTTTTGTTATCCTCATAACCTTACTCTTTCCTGTAATTCACCTTTAATTTTTCTTCTTTTGCACACCCTACCAAAATTCATCCACCAATCTCTGCATCATCTCTTCAGAATCTCCCAAGAGCACAGTGTCATCAGCAAAGAGCAGCTGTGACAACTCCCACTTTGTTTTGTGTTTTCTTTATCTTTTAACTCCACGCCTCTTGCCAAGACCCTCGCTTTACTTCTCTTACAACCCCATCTATAAATATATTAAACAACCACGGGGGACATCACACATCCTTGTCAAAAGGCCTACTTTTACTGGGAAAAAAATTTCCCTTTTTCCTACATACTCTAACTTGAGCCTCACTATCCTCGTAAAAAACTCTTCACTACTTTCAGTAACCTCCCTCCTACACCATACACTTGCAACATCTGCCACATTGCCCCCCTATTCACCCTGTCATAGCCTTTTCCCCCCAATCCATAAATGCCACAAAGACCTTTTTTAAGCCTTATCTAAATACTGTTCACTTATATGTTTCACTGTAAACACCCGGTCCACAACACCCCCTACCTTTCCTAAAGCCTCCTTGTTCATCTGCTAAACCTATTCTCCGTCTTACTCTTTAAATTTTTTTTCAATTATAACTCTACCATACACTTTACCAGGTATACTCAACAGACTTTTCCCCCTATAATTTTGCACTCTCTTTTATCCCCTTTGCCTTTTAACAAAGGAACTAAGCATGCTCTCCTGCCAATCCCTAGGTACCTTTACCCTCTTTCCCTCATTTATTAAATAATTGCACCAACCACTCCTAAACTATATTTCCCACCTGCTTTTAACATTTCTATCTTTTTTCCCATCAATCCCCGGCTGCCTTACCCCCTTTCATTTTTACCTACTGCCTCACGAACTTCCCCCACACTCACAACTGGCTCTTCCTCACTCCTACAAGATGTTTTTTCCTCCTTGCCCTATACACGAAAATCACAGCTTTCCCCATCTTCATCAACATTTAACAATTCCTCAAAATATTCCCTCCATCTTCCAATACCTCTAACTCTCCATTTAATAACTCTCCTCTTCCTTTTTTTAAGTGACAAATCCATTTGTTCTCTAGGCTTTCTTACTTGTTAATCTCACTCCAAAAACTTTTTCTTATTTTCAACAAAATTTTGTTGATAACATCTCACCCACTCTCTCATTTGCTCTCTTTTTAAAATTGCTTCACCACCCCTCTTAACCTCTCTCTTTTTCTCCATATACTTTCCCTCCTTGCATCACTTCTACTTTGTAAAAACTTCTCATATGCTAAATTTTTTTCCTTACTTTCTCTCTTTACATATCATTCCACCAATCGCTCCTCTTCCTCACTGCAACCACTTTCTGTAACCACAAACTTCTGCTGAACACTTTAAACTACATTTTTTTAAAACCTACCCCATACTCTTCGACCCCCAAAGCCTATGCTCTCATTGCCCATATCCTCCAATAGCTGTTTATATCTTACCTAACTGCCTCCTCTTTTAGTTTATAAACCTTCACCTCTCCTTTCCCCGATGCTTCTATTCTCCTTGTATCCCCTCTACCTTTTACTCTCAGTGTAGCTACAACTAGAAAGTGATCTGATATATCTGTGGCCCCTCTTAAACATGTACATCCTGAAGTTTTATCAGGCAATCTTTTATCTTACCAATACATATCCAACAAACTACTGTCATTTTCGCCCTAAAATCTATCTGTAACTTATTTATCCTCTTTTTCTTAAAATATGTATTAAACCCATAACTAAACCCATTTCTATCCAAATTTTAAATCAAAGGGCTCCCTTTATCTTTTTACCCCGGGCCCCCCAAATTTACCTACCAAAAACCCTTTTCAAAAAATTTTTCCCCTATTTTAGCATTCAGGCCCCCTCCCCACAATTATTCTCTCATTTGGGTTTAAAAAGGCCCCTATACATTCACTTAACTCCCCCAAAAATTTCTCTCTCTCTCCTCTGAAATTTCCCCCTCTTCCCCAAAGGTGCATACACGCTTATTAGGGACCCACTTCCCCGCTTTCCAAACCCTTTTAACTTTAACCCACATAATTTTGGGTTTTAACACATTCATATTCTCTTTTCCCTTCCATAATGATCTTTTTTAACTTAAATGCTCCCCCTTTCCCTTTGCTCTAACTCCCCTCAAAAACCCCCAATTTTAAATCCCTTTTTTTTCCCCCCACTGAAACTCTCCTACCCCCCTTTAGCTTTTTTTCGCTTTTGGGCCGGACATCCAATTCTTTTCATTCCCTAACATCCCGCATCATCTGTTTCTTTTCATCCGCATCATCCCGCACATTTAAGCATCCCCCTTTTTTTAAAAATTTTTTCTTCTCTTTTTTAGGGAAATGTCTACAGGAAAGGGGGGATAGCCCCTTTTCTCCCGGGATTTTAGGCGCCCATATGACACGCATGGCTTTTTGGGGGGAAAATTCCCTTTTTTCCCCTTCCCCAGGGGCAATAGAAAAATAAAGAAGAAAAAAGAGCTATTTAAAAAAGGGAAAAACCTAGATGTATGTAAATATATATGGGGGGTGCGGTCTGTGAAGTGTGACCAAAGGGGAAGTAGGGTTCAGATATCCCCGTTTTTCTAGGGGTGTTTATGAGACAGAAAAAGGGAAAACCCGCAATCCTACCATCAAGCAAAAACCCTTACAAGGGTTTTTTTTTAAAAGTCATCTGGGAGGACGGGAGTACTTCCCGGGGGGTTTGCTGTCCCACCAAACCCACTACCCACAACCCATATATATTATATATATATTTTTATATAGATATATTAAAATATTAAAAATATATATATATATATATATATTTTATAAAATTATTTTTATATATTTTTTATTATATAGGGGAAAATATTGGGTTTTGGGAAAAAGGGTAGTTGATGAGTGGGAAAATCCAAACCCAGTTGGGTTTTGAGGCTAGGGCCTTGGGGAGTTTCAAAAATTTTTTTTGGATAAGTACATAGCGGTTGGGGTTGATTTGGTGGGGCTTGCAAAATCAGAGTTATTTTGGGGAGCAAATTTAAAACTTTGGGTTTGGCAAATGTTTTTTTTTAGTGGGGTGAAATTTTTAAAGGACCTGCCAAAATTTGGGCCCAAAAGGCCTCCCGCAGTGTTTTCCCCGTTTTTTTATGTTCTTATAAGAGAAACTGACATGGGGTCATATTTACATCACCCAAATTTTCAGGGGTTTTTCACTTGGTTCAAATAAAGGTTGTCCTGCATCATTTTCCAGCCAAAAGTCGACTACTAAACTGGGCTTTTAGGTTTCCCTTTATATCTCGAATCCCTTGGGTGCCTAAGGGCTTCGTGAAATCCTTTACGTGAAGTTCTGTTTCCCCCCGAAACTGAACGTGTTGAAAAATTAATTTTTAGGGTGTGCATTCAGCGTCCCCAAAAATAGCTAGAAACACACGGGAAACTAAAAAATACTAAATTTGCCAGTTTTTTTGAGTAAAAGGGTAATAAAATGATAATAGAAACCCTGATGTAAATCATTTAGATAAACCCACAAGTTAAAGATTTAGGAGAAATCTGAGGTAATTTAGTCCCCTCAGTCTGGATTTGATGTGTTTAGTCCATCAATCTCAAAAAAGTACTTGTCAAAAACCCCAAAACCCCCTAACAAAAAATTCGCCCCAAAACAAATTTCAACCCAAAGGGAAAAAGCTTTCATTTAACCCCTGGAAACGGCTCATTAAGTTTATTTAGATACAGGTACTCATAAGTATAATTATCATACACAGTTAAATATGTGTTAATTACCTACTATAACACAAAAAGCCAGACAAAGCGATTTATTTCCATGTACTCTCATATACAATGCTCTCCTATACCATCAAGCACGTCCATGTACTCTCATGTACTAAGACTCACCTGGAGGTGATAGAGGCCTAGTACAGTGGTCTGAGAGACGTGCATGTCTGTCTTCAGTCCCTCCTCTCTCTCTCTGGCCTTCCTGCGTCGCTTCCGTACAGCCTGGGAGATAAGACCGGGAGATTATATATTAATGTACTTTTTTTTTTTTACTTATTCGTCGGTATTCATGTATACTCTGGTATATATATATATCATTAAGTATACCAGCTGCATGCTCTCCATGTGTAGTTACAATGAGGTACATTTATTATGAATTCTATAATGAGGGGATATTTATAACAAGAAAGTATAATTCATTTTTAATAACACAGCTCAGATGATATTGTAAACAGTACACAGTCAAACTGCGCACTTCAGCATTCTTAAGAGCTATACAATATCTGGGACAGAGGAGATAATTAGACTTGATCTAGGATAAGAGCCCTTGAAAGTTAATGCACAGAAGATAGTCTGCTGTAGGCTTTACTACGAGGCCTAAGCATATAGTACTCGTTTTATATTGAGTGTGAGTGTCTCCACGTAGACTGATGTATACCACTGGCGGTGTTACACACTTCAGTTTAGACTTATATACAGGTATCTCCATGTAGTTTGATGTGTACCAGTGGCAGGTGTTTCTTACGCACTTCAGTCTGGACATGCTGTCCATGTTCACCCATCAGTAAAATAGGTACCTGAAAGTTAGTTGACTGGTGTGGGTCGCATCCTGGGACTAAACTGACCTAACTTGCCCGAAATGCTCTGTATAACAAGCGGCTTTCTATATAGTGGTATGTCATTGATGCCAGCTAGGCCTGTATACCTTGTACATGTACTTGTAGTAAATAAAATTATTATTATTATTTATTATTATTATTATTATTATTATTATTATTATTATTATTACTATTATTATTATTATTATTCTGGTATACAAGTGTCTCCATGTAGTCTGATGTGTACCAGTAGCAGGTGTTTCTTACACACTTCAGTCTGGACATTAATACAAGTGTTTCTATGTAGTCAGATGTGTACCACTGACAGGTGTTTCTTACACACTTCAGTCTGGACACATATACAAGTGAATGTATATCGTGATCTAACTTGCCTCCAAGATCAGGTGTTTAACAGCAGGAAGTCAGGTCGTCAGGCCAACATCAGACAGGATGTAGGGCATCATGTGCACTACATTAAGACTGGCACTCCTGGCACTACATTAAGACTGGCACTGGGACTAAGGACCACCATTATGTACATTTCTGGCATGGACCTCTACATACAGGCCCTGACAGCCAATTATTCGTGGCGCAGCTGTCGGAAGACATCCTCATAGCTGTCATGCACTTTACCAGGAAATCAATTTGAGCCCACACACTGATGGACTAAACTCTCACGCATTTTGACAAGCGAGTGTGTTGGGTTTAATAACTATCTGCTGCACTTGAAAATAAGTCACTTTGATTTTTTTGGTTTATCCTAAGTAATGTATGATAATATGTGTAACTGTATTTATGTGTACCTGTACCTAAATAAACTTATAATTTAACATGGCAATTAAACTGTACAGTGTACATTAACATCAAAAATACTTTAATCTCTAACACAATAATTAATTTTTCAATACATAAACACTGTGTGTGTACACCTGTGTATATACACTCAATAAAGGAGGAAACAGGTGGTGGAAACACACACCTCATCATGCAGGTCCTGGAAACATTTAAGGAGGTCATGGAAATACTTAAAAAGGTCCTGGAAACACCCACCTCATCAAGAAGGTCCTGGAAACACCCACCTCATCAAGGAGGTCATGGAAACACTCACCTTATCAAGGTCCTGGAAACACTCATTTCATCAAGAAAGTTTTAGAAACGCTCATCTCATCGCGATCCTGGAAACACCCACTTCATCAAGGAGGTCTTGGAAACAGCTACCTCATCAAGGTCCTGAAAACACCCATTTCATCAAGGAGATCCTGGAAATACTCATCCAAGACCTGGAAACACCCACCTCATCAAGGAGGTCCTGGAAATACTCATCCAGGTCCTACAAACATCAACCTCATAAGGAGGTCCTGGAAATATTCATCCGGGTCCTAGAAACACCCACCTCATCAATCAGGTCCTCGAAACACTCATCTCATCAAGGTCCTGGAAACACTCATCTCATCCAGGTCCTGGAAACACCCACCTCATCAAGGTCCTGGAAACACTCATCTCATCCAAGTCCTGGAAACATCTACCTCATCAAGGTCCTGGAAACACCCACCTCATCAAGGTCCTGGAAACACTCATCTCATCAAGGCCCTGGAAACACTCATCTCATCCAGGTCCTGGAAACACCCACCTCATCAAGGTCCTGGAAACACTCATCTCATCAAGGCCCTGGAAACACTCGCCTCATCAAGGTCCTGGAAACACCCACCTCATCAAGGTCCTGGAAACACTCATCTCATCCAGGTCCTGGAAACACCCACCTCATCAAGGTCCTGGAAACACTCATCTCATTCAGATCCTGGAAACACCCATCTCATCAAGCAGGTCCTGGAAATACTCATCCAGGTCCTGGAAACACTCACCTCATCAAGGAGGTCTTGGAACAAGCGTGTGACCATGCCGGCCTCCACTATCCTGGCCACCACGGTGTTGAACCTCGAAGTAAACACTGAGAACCTCGGCATCGCCAGACCGATCCTGTGCCAGGCAGAACCCAGCGGGGTTTATAAGTTGGTCACACCGTCTTCATAACAACATATAACACACAAACAACCTCACCCACAGTCTATCTATATTCCCAAGTTTTTAGTCTTTATTTAGTCCCGTAGCTCAGTTGGTAGCGTACTTATCTCACACACTGAGGTCCGTGGTTCGATCCCCGGTACGGGTGGAAACATTAGGGCGTGTTTCCTTAAGACACCTGCTGTCCTTGTTCACCTAGCAGTAAATAGGTACCTGGGTGTTAGTTGACTGGTGTGGGTCGCATCGTGGGGACAAAATTAACCTAATTTGCCCGAAATGCTCTGCATAACAAGTAGTTTCCTATATGGTATGTCACTGATGTCAGTTATGGTCTGTATAAGCTGTATTGTTTACTTGAAGAAAGATTATTTTATTATTATTATTAATGTTAAGATAATCATTACGCCAGCAAGAAATTAATGGTCACGCATCCCCCGTCAGAGAAAAAAATATGGCTGGAGTGGATAAGGAGGCTGGAGGGTAAGTCAAAATAATATTGACGAAATACATAATGGAATACCAAAGATTTTAATTCTTTTTTACAAAGTTGTATTCAAAATTCACGATCTTTACATTAATGTTATATAACAGCGACAAGTTGTTGAATAAGACACATGTGTAACATATAGGTGTATTTATACTGTATTGGATTAAAGAAAAAAGTCATTGGTTGACGATTCGGCTCCATCATTAATGACAGCCAGGTGTTGCAGGTGTTGCAGGTGTATTGTTCATCATGAGAGGTCATCAGAATGGCAAGGAATAATTAAGAACAACAGTTGCAGATACTATCACTGATTAATAATAATAATAATAATAATAATAATAATAATAATAATAATAATAAGAATAATAATCTATTTCTACAACTACACGATACAGTTTATACAGACCTAGTTGACATCAGTGGCATACTATAATAAAAATAATAATAATAATAATAATAATAATAATCTTTATTTCTACAGGTATATGATACAACTATTACAGATCATAGCTGACATCAATGACATACTATATAAAAAGCCTCTGGTTATGCAGAACATTTCGGGCGACTTAGGTTAATCTTGTTCCCAGGATGCAACCCACACCAGTCGGCTAACAACCAGGTACCTAATTACTGCTAGGTGATCAGGGACAGCAGGAGTAAGGTAACACCCAGTGTTTCCACCCGTACCGGGGATCGTTCAGGGGTCTTACCTAGACTCAATCAATTCGATTCGATCGGGGATCGAACTGCGGACATCAGTGTATGAGCTGAGTGGGCTACCAACCGAGCTACGGTTGGAATGATACGTTATGTATCACTGCTAGTAAAGAGTGCACAGCAGCTCACCTAAAGGGCACAAAGCACTCCTTAGCGACGTGTAGTTTGGTTACACCGAAGCCGTCGGTGAAGTTACTAGCGACGAGGTAGCGCAGGAAGGTGCCAGAGTTCATGAAGGCGAAGTTCCCCTCCAACACCCTGGTCAACCCGCCTTCTATACCACTGACGTATTCGAACCCCGCCGCGATCCTCTGTGAAGTCGGGTCCAGCGAGTTTCTGAAAGTATGGGAAAAAAGTAAGATATCTATGTATGTATGTGTATGTGTATGTATATGTGTGGAGATTCACAACCTTTGACATATTGTACCAATGTATTCATGTTTGTGCTTTCTATCAATGTATTCTGTCTATTAATAAAGTTCACATGTAGCTTTAAAGTACAGGGGGTGATAGAAGTAAATATTCAAACAACTCCGGGAGAACCTTGAGCTTTTCCTGAGGTACGTTTATTGTCTTCTCTGAGGATGAGGGTCCCCAGTCCAGTTCTAGAGGTGGTACCATTATATATATATATATATATATATATATATATATATATATATATATATATATATATATATATATATATATATAAAATATATATATATATATATATCAACACTGCAACTGGCCGGGGGATCGAACCCGTGTTGTTTTAGCCAGCCTCATGGTGAGCGAAAATTCCACGACACTAACCCACGGGACCATACAATCCTACAAGAATCACGCACCCAGCAGAGTTAGGTGTTGTACCGTGATCCGAGGGCATACGATGGTGTGGGTGCCTCAGAGCTAATTTCATTCTACTCCCCGTTTGATGTAGTAGCCTCCACGAGCAGTGGAGCAAGTAGTAGAATGAAATTAGCTCTGGGGCTGCCGCACCATCGTATGTCCTCGGATCACGGTACAGCGTGATTCTTGTAGGACTGTATGGTCCCGTGGGTTAGAGTGTCGTGGAATTTTCGCTCACCATGAGGCTGGCTAAAACAACACGGGTTCGATCCCCCGGCTAGTCGCAGTGTTTTTATTGATTAAATACCACTCTGCCACTTGTGAACCCCTGAGCTGCCCAGGAGTGCACAAGAGTAGCTCAGGAGTGCACAAGAGTAGCTCAGGAGTGCACAAGAGTAGCTCAGGAGTGCACAAGAGTAGCTCAGGAGTGCATAAATGCCACTCTGAAGTTCACAGAGACAATCAGAAGTGCACAAGAGCCGCCCAGGAGTGCAGAAGAGCAGCTCAGGAGTGTACAAGAGCCGCCCATTAGTGCAGAAGAGCCGCTCAGGAGCGTGAAGGAACCTGAGTGGGGTAGACCAGCCGGGTCTTGCGTGTCTCTGAGTGTGTTGGATGACACTCATAATTAACCTGATCACCAGGCTTCCTGAATGTCTTATGGGCACCCACCTGCAGTGCTGGGCACGCACCTGCAGTGCTGGGCACCCATGTGCAGTGCTGGGCACGCTCCTGCAGTGCTGGGCACCTACCTGCAGTGCTAGGCACACTTCTGCAAAGCAGAGCACCCTCCTGCAGTGCTGGGCACTCTCCTGCAGTGCTGAGCACACTTTTGCTGTGCTGAACACCCACCTGCAGTGCTGCGCTCCCTACTGCAGTGCTGGGCACCCTCCTGCAGTACTGAGCCCCCTCCTGCAATGCTGGGCCCACTTCTGCAGTGTTGGGCACAACACCTGCAGTCAGGAGCCCTCCTGCAATGCTGGCACACTTCAGAAGTGTGGGCACCCTGCATGTCTGGACACACTACACCCACTTCTGGACACACCACCTGCATGTATGCTCCCTAACGCATGTCTGGACACACTCCAGCAGTACTGGACCCTACATTGCAAGTGTATGGCACACTCCTACATGACTGGCACCCACCTGCATGTTGTGTACCCACCTGCAGTGCTGGCACCCACCTGCATGTCTGTGCTCCTCCCTGCAGTGCTGGGCACACTCCCGCATGTCTGGGCACCCTCCCAGCATGTTGAGCACACTCCTGCAGTGTTGAGCACACTCCTGCATGTACTGGGCACACTCCGCATGCTGGGCACCTCCCATGTTGGCACCCACCGCATGCTGTGTACCCACCTGCAGTGCTGTGCTCCCTCCTGCATGCTGGCACACTCCTGCAGTGCTGGGCACACTCCTGCAGTGCTAGGCACCGAACAGATAATTTAAGACGGTGTCCTCAGTGGAGAGAGTGATAACGAAGAGAGTCAAGGAGTCAAAATACACCAACATGTACTGGACACACTACACCAACATGTACTGGACACACTACACCAACATGTACTGGACACACTACACCAACATGTACTGGACACACTACACCAACATGTACTGGACACATTACACTCAACACAAGAGGTGAAGAAAGTATAAATTGAGCTGGAGACCTCAAAGGCAATGGGACCAGGTGATAAGAAAGATACATGTATATCAGTCGGGTATTTTATTCCTAACACGTTTCGCCTACACAGTAGGCTTCTTCAGTTGAATACAAAGGAGGCAGCAGAAGCAGAAGAGATGTAAAGACGGTGTAATTAGTCCATCACCATCGAAGACGATGTTTTGAGGTGGTCAGTCCCTCAGCCTGGAGAAAAGTCCTGCTCCATAATCTGGAACAATGTGACCAGTGTTTCACCACGGATTTTAGCAAAGTTGGAACACTGTTTTACCTGCTAGTTAAAATCTACAAGTCAACGGATACAGAGAAAATGCCAGAGATGCGGAGAGGAATAACAGGCAATGTTAAGCATCAGACCAGTCACAGTAACAAATAGTCTCATTAGGGGCAACCAATACGGTTTAGAGATGGTAAACCCTGTCTCACAAACCTGCTTGAGTTGTACAACAAAGATAATAGAAGTGGGTTCAAGAGCAAATAACAGGTGGATTGCTTATTTTAGGATTGGAAGAAGACATCTGACATACCACCGCACAAGAGACTGGGAATCGAAGTGGAGTAGCAGTCAGGCGCAGTACACAACAGGGAAGCCACAACACTGGGTCAAAGGAGACGGAGGAGAAATATCAGAATGGCCAATTATGACGAATGAGGCTTTCACGAGAGCCAGAACTGTTTCTGGTATAGGCAGACATACTTCGAATGATAAAAACAGGCAATGAGAGCAATAAACAATTCGAAGGAAAAAAACAAATGCTACAATTGGACGTGGACAGGATTGGTCAAACGAGTAGTTACTGATATTCAAACCCAGTAAACGTATGGTTATGATTATTATTATTATAATCATGGGGGAGCGCTAAACCCGTAGGATTATACAGCGCATGAGGCGGAGGGGGATGGAAGGTATTCAGGCTCAATTCAGGGAACTGGAATTAGGGGGGATATGATTGAGGTGTATAAATGGAAGACAGGAATAAATAAAGGGGATGTAAATAGTGTGCTGAAAATATCTAGCCTAGACAGGACTCGCAGCAATGGTTTTAAGTTGGAAAAATTCAGATTCAGGGAAAGGGTATAGGAAAGTACTGGGTTTTGGGAATAGAGTTGTGGATGAGTGGAACAAACTCCCAAGTACCGTTATAGAGGCCAGAACGTTGTGTAGCTTTAAAAATAGGTTGGATAAATACATGAGTGGATGTGGGTGGGTGTGAGTTAGACCTGATAGCTTGTGCTACCAGGTCGGTTGCCGTGTTCCTCCCTTAAGTCAATGTGACCTGACCTGACTAGGTTGGGTGCATTGGCTTAAGCCGGTAGGAGACTTGGACCTGCCTCGCATGGGCCAGTAGGCCTTCTGCAGTGTTCCTTCGTTCTTATGTTCTTATGTTCTTATATCCAATTCCCTAGATCAAGAGCCCCTCACCAGCATCAAGGAACCTCCCTTGAGGGGTACATATGGTTATGAAAAAATTGAAGTAGGGGAAAGAAGACTAGAAACTGACTTCATGATCAAGGACCGGAAGTTAAATAACCTTACCTTCAGTAAGTACTGACCATGTCACCAAAGAAGCACATCAACACTGTAAATCTTTGTTATTCAAACCTAAGATCAGTTTCCACGAATCTCAACAACGAGTCGTGCACAATCACGTCTATGACACGACATGTGATTTAAATGATTTAGAAAACTGACAAGTTGAAAAAATGAGACATTTCTTCAACATTAGTGAATCTTCATAGAGGAATCGTTTCGCTACTGAGTGGGGAAACGTTTCCTCAGTAAAGCTTCACTAATGTTGCACAAGTGTCTCATTCCTGACATGACATGTCAAGCTCATTGTGGAGAATGTAGCGTGGGACCCACACCTGATACAGCAGATACAGCAGATACAGCATGATACAGCATAATACAGCAGATACTGCATGATACAGCAGATACTGCATGATACAACATAATACAGCAGATACAGCATGATACAGCAGATACAGCATGATACAGCATAATACAGCAGCTACAGCATACAGGACATACAGCACGATACAGCAGATACAGCACATACAGCACGATACAGCAGATACAGCATGATACAGCAGATACAGCATGATACAGCATGATACAGCAGATACTGCATGATACAGCATAATACAGCAGATACTGCATGATACAGCAGATACTGCATGATACAGCATAACCAGCAGATACTGCATGATACAGCAGATACTGCATGATACAGCATAATACAGCAGATACAGCATGATACAGCAGATACTGCATGATACAGCATAATACAGCAGTATACGCATGAACAGCAGATACGCATGATACAGAACTAAGCAGATACAGCATGATACAGCAAGTACTGCATGAACAGCATAATACAGCAGATACAGCATGATACAGCAGATACAGCATGATACAGCAGATACAGCATGATACAGCATAATACAGCAGATACAGCATGATACAGCAGATACAGCATGATACAGCATAATACAGCAGATACAGCATGATACAGCAGATACAGCATGATACAGCATAATACAGCATCAGATACAGCATACTGCAGATACAGCCAGATACAGCATGATACAGCAGATACAGCATGATACAGCATAATACAGCAGATACACAGCATGTACAGCATGATACAGCATGATACAGCATGATACAGCAGAATACACTATACAGCAATACAGCAGATAACAGCATGATACAGCAGATACAGCATGAACAGCAATACAGCATATCATGAACAGCAGATACAGCATGACATACAGCATATACAGCATACAGCAGATACAGCATGACAGCAGATACAGATACAGCATGATA